GTCAGTATCGAATTTATCCATTGAAATGTTTTATTAATGTCAAATTAATGCATTCTCTATTACTTATTACCATTTGACGCGTATTCTACTTTTAAATTATAAAACGATATTCTTTTTTATAAGTGTTAATTTTAATTAGAAATATCACACAAGAGAGTTAATATAAAATGATAAGTAACGTCTAAACGCTAAAGAAATAATTTACATAAACACACAACGTGCTCGATAATAATAAATGACAGCAGTTAACATTAGCAACGAATACTATTGCAAATGCAAATGCAAATGTTTGAAACTTCTATATCCCCTTAAAACTTTAACAGAAATATGCTAAACTAAACACTTAAGTGTTTACAAGTTATCATGTAAATACTTTAAATAACTTGACCGAGATTATATTAACCAAATCGTAGATATGATTAAAAAACATATCACGAAGATTCTATTAATAAAAAAGAAAAAAAAAAGAGAAAAACCAGAAAAGTAATAATAAAATTGGTAAATCTATTAACTGCGGCAAGGGTAGAGGAATGATCCAGGAATAAAATGAAACGAGGAAGCGCATCCCCTTGACATATTGTTGGTTGGATGCCAAAGTTCTCCGATGTTCGTGTAATAGAAATGAGAGATATCAATGGATGAGGGAACAAATTTAAAGAAAAAGAAAAAAAAAAAAAGAGGAGGAGGAGGGTACCGTGACGCGTAAAGAAGGAAGGAAGGAAGGAAGGAAGGAAGGAAGGAAAAAGCTGGCACGATGCATAAGCTGATCTCGTCAACAGGCGTACTTTCTCAATTCTCTTTGAACTGTACTTGCCCTTAGGGAACTTTGAATCGGTCCCACGCGATTTCCATCCTTTCCTTTCAACCCCTTCGGCCCCCGTTTTCTGCCCCCGTTCTACCAAGCTCGTTCCTATCATCCGTCACACCCATATAAACACATAGACACACACGTACACTATCGCCCAAAAGTTTGGAATCGCTCGATATCAAACATGCCGATAAGTTTGGGGGATGTTCAATTATTATACTATCAAAATATTAACAAGTTTAAATTAAGTTCTACAAGATTTCAGTATTTTCTTATGTTTACACAATACTTTTATACATTTTCTAACTTAAACTACCCCTCCTATACCCCTCTCTTCCCAGTTTAAGGGCAAAACAAGACACGAATTTTCCAACTTCAATAAGAAATATGAAAAAAGAAAAAAAAGAAATATTCAATTGAAAACCACTCGGACGAGACTAATTTATAAAATTAATTTAACAAATGAACACACAGGTTGTGTTAACTGGCACGTTGGTCACTTCCTGCGACCAATTACGCTATCACACTGTTTTATATAATAACATTTGATCTTTAAAATGATATTATATATTATAAAACGTATAAAACTAATGTGCCAGTCTAACGTTTTAATCTACCCCATGGTTATTTTTAAAACATTTATATTTTCTTCTTACAAATATTTTTATCTTCTCGAGAAAACGTTACGTAGAGATTCGAAACTTTTGGCAGATAGTGTACATGAATAGATGCGCTTACATACGCGTTCCTCTATGCGAGCCCAACTTGACCTCTATCACGAAAAGAGAGATGGACCACGAGAGGGTAAATTCAGAGTTATCGGTGCGGTCCGATCGATATACACCGCACGAATGGGTAACGAAGGACATATACACGTTTTGGATTTCATCCATCTATCTTACGTGTCTCTATGTTAGTATATGTTTATTTCTTGTCTTGTATAGATAGACGTATGTGTGTATGCGAGTGTATGCGAGTGTATATGTGTGTGTGTTTGTGTAATCCTTCTATAGAAATTGTCCTAATGAAAGTGTCGGTGGTTATAGTATAATTATCAACCCTAAGCTCTTATATGCGATAAAGGTTTCTCCCAGATTTCTAGCTGATACTTTTCAAATAAACATGAATCGACGACCTCTTTGATTAAGATCACGGTTTATAACACATATTCCTTGATAATTAATAAATTGTTGAACTTCTCTCCGTTGACATAAATCCGATCGTTTTGGTTATATTCTGTTTTTAGGAGTTCATCATTGGTTAAATTATTACCTCGTGTTTTCGAGATTGATTTTCTATTAGAAGTTTTCACTGTTTTTAGAAATCAACTGTGTGTATATTCCTTTTTGGAATTCTTCGTTAATATTCTAGATGTTTCTGTTGTTTCTGTTAATTAATTCAAGTGGTTTTATTTATTTGATACGTTACCATCGTGATATTATTCATTGTCGTTATTTATATTTCTTGGCAAATAATACAATAAATACTCAAGTAATAATCGAGAAAAATCTTTTTCTAAGCTTTCGTCATTATTTCTTTTCTTTTTTTACGTATCTAATATAATTACAAGACTAATACTTTTAACTTTCTATTCTTTTATATATATATATATATATAATTTCTTTAAAACATTTATTATACTAGTATCGTTGTTCAACACTCCCACGTTTTCTAATTAAAATTAGAAATTTCAAACGATCCTCACATTGGAGTACAAATATCGAAATATTTAAAAGACGAATTTCTTTTCCCGTTCTCATTGAATTTCTATTATCAATCTTCTTTTTTCTTTTTTTTCCTTTCCTTTCTTTTTTTTTCATCAATATAAAGACGGAATATAAAATCGAAATGAAATTCATTGTCCGCGTGTCATACGTCGTTTTCAACATTCGAGCGAAATTACAAACGTAAGAGGCAATATCTTCCTCTTGACTCGCATGCCAGACTCTCTCTCTCTCTCTCTCTCTCTCTCTCTCTTTTTTTCTTTCTCTTTTTATCTATCTCTCTTTTTCCCTCTCATTCATTCTCTCTCTACTCTCTCTCTCTCTCTCTCTCTCTCTTTCAAGTCGCGAATAAGCTTGTCGAATTCATCTCGATTCTTTCAACGATACTACCAAAACCGCAAGATATGATATATTTATATATATATATATATATATATATATAGATATATACATGTTTCTGAACATCGAACGAATCGAAAAGTTGAAGAAAGTAGCGTATGCTACTATTCCTTAGTAGACTTTTTTTTAGGATACTTCTTCATCCATCGTTACTTATATAAGAAGAAAATCTATCTGTCTGGCGTCTAGCCAAAAGAATGTCTCACGAAACATCATCGTAAGTTCCCCCCCCCCCCCCCGCCCCCGCCCCTTGTCGTATAATTTTCAACTATTATTTAAACCTTCTAAGTTATACGTGTTCAATCGATTAACTCAGATTTAAATCTAAAGTAATCTAAATTAATTAAATCATCTTTTTTGTGTAAATGAATATATCGTCGAATTACTTATCGATCCAAAATGGATTCAATCATTTTTTCTTGAATATTACAAACAACAAATTGGGTGAGGGAAAAATAAAAGGAATAAGAATCATTTTTAATATGAAAAATTAAAAAATCGTCTCGGTTTTTTGAGACGCTTTGACATAGAAATTGTCAACAAATTTTTCTACCTAAGTTAATCTATATTTCATCTGTGAATTTTATAAGACTGCTAAACAATTTAATTTTAATAAATCATCGTGCAATATGTGAAAAATAATTACAATAATATGAAATTTTTACGATTTGATTTCTTTTCAAATCTTCAAATTTCAAACATCATTGGTATATATTTCACTAATTTACCTCTCTCTCTTTCTCTCTCTATCTATCTATCTTTCTCTTTCTCTTTTTCTCTTATTCTTTCTATTTCTTTCATCCTCGATACATCAAACATAACATCAAACATCCCATCATCATTCAAAGTAATTCTCATCAACAACATTTTATTAAGAATCCAATAAAACCACCATAATAAAAATCAAACCAAATTTCATTCTTGTTTTTTAGAATACTCACATTCATATATACACATACATACATACATACTCGCTATTTAATCATTCTCTCTCTTATTATCCTTGTTTCTTTTCCATTTCATTCTACTTCAATACATCAAACATCAAATAAAATATCCCACGATCATTCAAAGTTTTTTTCACATCAACAACATTTTAATAAGAATCTTATAAAATAACTATAACAAAATTCCAACCCAATTGCATACTAGTTTTTTTATTACTATCACATACGTACCCAAACACATGCACACACATCCTTACTTATTCTCTTTCTCTCTTTCTCTCTCTCTCTCTTTCTTATTTACTTTTATCATTAATCCTATTCGTTAAAACATGCATCCAACAAGACGATGCTTCTTCAATGAAAAACATCTAAAGAAATGCAGGCGCCAACTAAAATAAAAAAAAAAAAAAGCAACATAAAATCGTACGATCTCTTACGAGGAAACCGAAATTCTTTCTTTTTTTTTTCTCTCTCTCTCTCTCTCTCCCGTACAAAAAAGGTGTATACGTACTTTTCTCTTGCGAAAAATCGTTCTTTTTTTAAGTTTTTTGTTTTCGTTTTGTCACTGCACCTACGTATATCTAAAATAATAAAAGTTGTGCGATCGTTAACGAGCACAACGTTACGTAATCTTATTCCTTCAACACTCGTTCCCTATTTTTAATATATTTCTACGAGATAGGGTCTTTCGCGTTAATATGCGTGCCGTGACACGACCATCCCCACCCATCGCAATTTGGATTCGAAAAAGAAATGTAAAAAGATTGTAGAAAGAAAGGATACTCTAAAGGGAAGTTCTCGCACAAGGAGAGAGAAAAATAATAATTCAATCGAATCTAAGTTAAAATTGTATCAATAAAGGATTCCAATAATTTTAAAGGACAAGGAAGAATGAAAGGAAGAGAAGGATTAGGAAAGACGGTAAAAACATCTAACGAAAATAAATCGCAAATATTAAATTAATAAAAAAAATGAATAAAAATTGTTGAAAGAAAAGAGAAAAAAAAAAAAAAAAATAAAGATAATGAAAAGCAAATAAGCAAAAGTCTCTTGAACGAATTCAAATGAGACGACTGACTTAATTAATCGATTTGTTTTGTTCTGTTCCGGTCGACGTATTAGATGGGCCGACAAATGTGCAGGTCAACATCTTTCTCCGCTCTATCAGCAAAATAGATGATTATAATATGGTGAGTGCAATATAAATCATCATCAGCAAGGCCTATATATACCAGTCTGTATATTACACATGTGTATATCTATTAACGTCACGTATATATGATGCCGTAAAATTTGCACTTATCTGTAATATTGTACCTCTATTATATGTGTGTATATATATATATATATATATATATGTACTGTTAAAACGTAATTATACATATATATATATATATACACATAGATATATCATATATAGGATGACCCAAAATTAACAAGCACCAACAAACAAAAAACGTTCTTCGTATTAAAAATTCTAAAAGAAATTCATTCTCATGAAAAATTGAACAATGATCTATTAGAAATGAATTCTTGTATTTTATATATGCAAGAAAGGAAATATTAAAAAAAGAAAAATGGAAAATTGAAAAATGAGCTTCCGCTTTCGATGAGACGGTAAAACAAAACTATACGACAAATCGAAACGCGAATAAATTTTTGAAATGACGTAGGAAATGTCTTTTGCTAAAATATCAATTGATTTTGTGATTTGGAGTAAAATTTGATATTTGCAAAAAATGTAAATTACTTTTCGAACAACCACTTATATATATATTAATATTAATTATTTATCTATATAATATTATTTTTCAAGAAAAAAAGAATAATANAAAAAAAAAAAAAAAAAAAAAAAAAAAAAAAAAAAAAAAAAGAACACAAGAGAAAAAAAAACCTTTGAGATACGTATTGCTTTTAAAACCGAACGTGGTTGTTCGATTTGATTCCAAAGATAGAAAGACAGATAGACAAGAGAGTAAGAGTTGGATATAAGGGCGGAGAGTATAGATGAGAGAGAAAAGAAATATGGCAAGAAAGAATAATGGAATTCTCGAAGGGTAGTCTCGTACGTAGTTCAACTTTTAAAGGTTCAATTACTCGAAGTGCAGAGGCTCGATTTTTCATTATAAAAATAAAAAAGAAAAAAAAAAAGAAAGACAGAAAGAAAAGCGAAAGAAAAAAATTGAAAAATATATGAAGAAAAACAAAAAAACACAAAAATAAATAAAAAGAAAAATGATACGAAGCACGTTTGAAAAAGCATGCAAGGATTTTGGGACATCCTGTATATCGTAAACGCGAGCAACCGCGCTACCAGTGGATGTGTGCTATTCAGTCAAAATCTCGTGTTGATTTTCTCAATGTCGTTGATTGTCGTCGTATTATACATACATGTATATACGTATATATACATATATATATATATATATATGATATATGTATATACACTTATGGAACATTGCTCGACGTGATGATATGTGTATGTATCATATATATATATATATATATATATGGTATATACATATATATACATGCATAAGATCAGCAGCACATGTCTCTCTGTTACATAATGATTGTTAAAACGATCGATTGTACGCTGCAACTACGTCGTTGTCGTCGTCGTCGTCGTCATCGTCGTCATCGTCGTCGTTTTCGTCGTCGTCGTTTTCGTCAACTTCGTCATCGTTGTCGGCGTCATTTTCGTCGTCGTCGTCGTCGTCGTCGTCGTCGTCGTCATCGTCGTCGTCGTTGTCGTCTGTGCCTTGCTGAACAAAAACAAAAAAAAAAAAGGAAAAAGGAAAAAGAAAAAACCCACGCGTGCTAGGGAGAATATTAAAAAATATGTATTCTATAAAAAGAGAGAGACACGAGTTTTTTTTTTATTTTATATATACACATGCATATATATATGTATATGTGTGTGTGTATGTATAGAACAATTCGGTAGAATCCATATAGGAACGCGTTATCAATGAAAAATATATTCCCGATTCTTCGATACGAAGATACGGTTTCTCTTCTCTTCAATTCATAATTTTCTTTTTTCTTTTTTTTTTTTCTTTACTTCTTTCCTTTTTCCCATTCTTCGTATTTTAATTGATTTTATTTTATCTTGGTTTTTTTTTTTCTTTTCTTTTTTTCTTTTTTTTTTCACGTTTATTTTTACCAATGGGAAAAAGGGACGAGCATGGAATACAATATGATACGTGTATTATTCGTATATTTGCGCGTGGTGTAAGAGATACGTTTTGAAATTTCATCGCGTGTTTTTGATTAATTAATTAATCAAAATGAAGATTAAATGTCGATGCAATTTTTTATTGAATCTTGAACTTTACGAACATATTTTATACTGATAATACGAGTAATGCATAAGTACGACATGTATAAAGGGTGATTTATCAATTTCATTAATAAAAATTCAACGAAATGTTATGAATTTATTGAGAAATCAATAATTTAATTTTGCATATTAAGTGGGAATATATATCGGAAATTCCAGATGATGTAATTTGCAACATTGAAATGAATAATAAACTCGTCTATTCGTTCCAATAAGTTTTATGAATGTAACTTTTCTGGAAGAATATTCGTAAACGTTCATGCGTAACAATTTATCATAAAATTAAATTGTGAATTTCATCGTCGATTTATTTACCGTTTAACAATTAAATGCATTATTATTATTATTATTATTATTATTAAAGTTCACTTCGTTCATTATTCCATCTATTAATTTGACGATATCATTTTTCTAGAAAGATTTTATCTCTAATGAAATTTTAAAGGAAAAGATTTGAACGTTTGTTTTTGTAACATCAATAAATTATAATATATTACAATGAGTGCTTAATCGATTTGTCAACAATGTGTTAAAATATCTGCAGTGTAACCTACTTTTGGACAAACACCCTATATACATCAAATATATTATATAACAGAGTTATGCAAAAGATATCAAGACGTTGGAACAGCTTGAAATGCATGGATCGTTGCATATGAATATCTTGTAACGCATGAAATCATAATTCAATAAATTTTAATAACAATTTTTCCAGTAACTATTTATAATGAATAAACTAGAAAAAAAAAGAAAAAAAAGAAAAAGGGGAAACTATTTATTTTAAATGATTCGTATTACTCGTAATTTGTACAAGTATTTTTTCTTTTAAACGCGCGTACCATTAAAATGTATAAACTTACGATTACATTAGAATAATAACGATCCTGCATTTTAAGCAGCATAAAAACCACGTTAATAAACCATTCAAAGTTAATTATTCCATTGCTCGTCGATTTAACGCAGTTCGATGGGTTGGAATATTGTCAAATGTGATGCAAAAATATTTTTAAAGTCAGTCGTCTAGAATTTATCGAATTTCTTTTCTTTTTCTTTTTCTAATTTCGATACGTATCTTATTTTCATTTTTATTTCGTTCGTTATCGAATCCGATACATTTTATTATTACATTCCACGTTTGAGAAAAAAGAAAAAAAAGAAAACGTATCTCGGGTCGTATTTGATTTCAATGAAAAAAAAAAAAAATATTTCGTTTAGCAGCAAACGCGCGGCTTCTTTCACTACCAATCTAATGGATTAATTGCGTTTCACATTTGAATTTAGTTTGCTTTTGATCTGTTCACGCTTCAATGATTAGTTACGGATGATGTATCGCTTGTGTGTCACTAATGCTAATCTAAAAGTAACAATATTGCACAATCACTGATAATAGACAATAGAAAATAAAAGCAAGATGCAAAATGCAAAAAAAAGAATATTTTTACGAACACCTTACGTCGAGAACAACATGTGTATTAGGAAAAATGAAAATAATAACTCAATTAAAAGGAGGATTTTGTTGTAAAATCTCATTTTAAATTCGAATCATCGATCTACCAATGAAAATTATTATTATTATTATTATTATTATTCTAATGTGAAATATTTGATACGTTATGAACATGCAAGATGTGTTTAAACGAGTGGTGTTTTAATTATACATATGTACATGTAAAAATAAGATCAAAAGAAACGAGAAGAATTTTGTAGTCAAAGGTTTCGTTTTCGAAAAAATAAGTTTTTTTTTTTCAAATACACGGATATTGAATTATTTCACCGTTTGGTTATAAACTAAAAACATTATCCTTCTGAGAAACTTTTCTAAACATTGTGATGTTAACATTTCGACTTCACCAGTGCGACTTATTTCTTGTACCTTTAATTAGTTTCCAACTGTCGTGTTTTGGACGAGGATAAAACAACATCGGCTGAGTTTTCAAATTATACTCTGCACAGATGAAAAAATATTACAGATGACAGTATAGAAATTAATTGAGTAAAGTTTCTTTCGTAATTATTATCAATTTAGGCAGAAATATATTAAATGAAACTCCTTCCATGATTATATATAAATATGTTGCTGGAAGAAGGTCTTTTAATTTCGAATTTTCACCAGAAAATATTTTCCTTCAACGAAAAATTCTTACTCTCAATTTTCGAATTATTTTTACATGTTGAATCAACACTGTTTCGTTTTACCAATCCTTCAGATACAAGTATACCAAGTTTCTGTTGGTTTCTTAAGACTCAAAACTTTTCAAACCATCTATTTAATCATTTATAATATCAAATAAATCATAAAATGAATGATTTCTATTTTTCAAATTAGTTTCTATTGTCATAACTGTCGTGTTATACTATAATGTCATAACTATCAATACACGTAAATAAATAAAAAACGAAATAATCAACTATTTCGATAAAATAGTAATAAATCAATAACAATTATAATAATAATAATAATAATAATAATAATAATAATAATAAATGATCAACCTGGAACAAACATGATTTCATGAAATTCTCAAGTAACAAGATTGTTGATTCAATTACCGTCATCTCGTCAATTTTCTACGATTTCAATCAGAACCTTCCTACGATAAAAATCCCTTGAGCCCCACACGTACACATGGATATATACTTACATAAACATATATATATATATATATATATATATATATATATATAAAGTACATATATAACTATTATATATATATAATATATCATTATATATATACTTACATATACATATATGTGTATATATGTATATACGTGGGTGCGTGTGTATATGTGTACGTGTGTATACATATATACATAATTCTATACCGCGTGAGTGAGTTTGAGGATATT